TTTAAATAATTATTTAAAGCAGGAAGTCTAATGTCTGACTGACTATTCTCAGCTGAACTTCCAATTCCATGCTAGCAAAGTAGTAGTCTAGTAACTGAGGGGATGCGTCCTCAACGCGACAGTGGACTGATTTGTTAGTAAATGAAATTATTCTATATTTAAGCCTTGGGAAATCAATGGGTAGTTCTTAAATCACTCTAAAGAAGATACGTAAAAGCTGGTGTTCGGTCTCGTCAGCCTTCCTTCCTGTGTCAGCATTCACGTAAGTTTGCTGCTTAGAGACGCAGGTAAGCTGCGTAGTCACCGTGACTCGCAGTGGCTGTCTTTCTGAATGGTGCTTCACACTTGAGCGAATTAGACATGGATTCCTTGGTTTATTCACTGGATGATAAATGAGGATGTGTCATGATTATGAATGAGAAATGCATTCTCATTAGATCCCAGCGCAAAATGACTTTCAAAAGTGATGCGCCCTCATCTTTACCATATAAGGCCATTATCGTATGGTTTCCTTCAGTTTCCATGGACTTGAGCTCTCAGCCGTTTATAATTGCCCAGATCCGCCCTGTTAAAAACGCATACTGATTGGGTGAAATATGTTGTTGTGCTTTTGGTTAGATTTTGTTATGGGTAGGAACATATTTGGAGGTATACACCCTTGTAATCAAGGCAGCTGGTAGTTGACTATTGTTGTGAACACCCTGCATGAAAAACCGTCAGTGCACGTTTACAACGGCAGTTTTTCTCACACTTTCTTCTGTTTGTTCCTTTGTCACTATCAGGCGTTTAGTCGATTCCCTTTCTGTTGGTCTGCAATATGGTGCTACTTCCCCTGTTTTATTTGCTGTAAGGATTTATGATGATGTTAAAACTAGAGGAAGCAGCTGTTTGCAGGGTATCATTTTTTTTTGGTGAACTTTGTGTTTCTGATGACCAGCTGCCAATAATTTCAGCAGTGCTTCCATGGCATTGTAGAAATTTTCTTTCCCTGTAGAAATCTATTAGGATTGTCAGTAATGTTTTAGATCTGCTTCTTTAGTTTGTTTTTGTTTGCCTCTTGGCTTTCTCTGTTCCTATTTCTTTAATTAGAGGAGGGGATAATATTGTTGCTGTGTCATAAAGGTAGTTGTGATAATGCAGATAAAAGATCTTCATACAGTTGTTAGCATGTAACATAAGGACTCTAAAAGCGTTAGCTATTTTTGTTACTAATTATTTGTTTTTGATAGAAAGGAGGGAAATAAATGGCAGTTGTCCTTTAAATGACATTCAGGTTCCCATGAAAATGTTGGGCTCTTAGTACTTGTATTCTATAGACTAGTTGGGCTGAATTGAGAATGGCAGAAATGCTTGTTACTATTCTCAAACATCCTACTTGGCTGAGAGTACTGCTGAATAGCTATTAATTTTTGGCCAGGGCTGTGTAATTTTAACCTAAAAAAGGAAAATCATTTAGTAAGCTTTTCAGTATAATTAAGAACATCTAGTATTAATGTACTTTCAGATTCCCCTCAAATTTCTTTATACCTGAGCAAAAGCTCTTCTTAGCCCAGATTGGAAAAAAAATTTTTTTGGTGTCTTTGGATGTTCAGAGGTCAGTGACTGTATATACTTTGCCATCGAGAATGCCAAATGGGGTTCTCTGGGGGAGAACCTAAGAATGAAAAGACCTTGAGATAAAATAAAACAATTCAGATGGAAAAATTTTTTCCTTGGGAGTAAGGTCTTTTGGGGGGGGGTGGGATTAGGTTTATTTATTTATTTCTTGTTTTCAAATTTTATTTGTTTATTTATTTAATGGAGGTCCTGGGGATTGAACCCATGCATACGAAGCACGCAGTCTGACCCTGAGCTATACCCTTCTCCAAAGATTTTTTTTAATGTAAAATTAATAACAATATATTGGTGTGTTTCTCAACTTCATTATACTTTAATTATTTTTTAAAAATAGGAAACAAGTCAAACAAATAAAATAATAGGACAGTCATCATGTACTCACTCACCCACAAGATTAAACAGATGTTAATATTTTGCCATGTTTGTTTCATATCTCCCCTTTTTGAAAAACAGGGAAGCATAACAGATGTAGCTAGAATACCGTTTTCCTTTCCATCTTTTCTCCTTCCCCAGAAGTAATCATTTCCTAAAAGCCGGCGTGTTATCCTGTGTTTGTACTTTTATTACATGTGTGCATACCTATAACATAGCCTATTATTTTGTGTGGGTTAAACTTTTATGTAAGTGATGTTTATAACCAAAGACAGTTAAATTGGTTCTGCTTTTTTCACTGTTCCCAACAGTGCTGCAGTGAATACCCTTCTTGTGCAAAATACGGGAGCGTCTCTCTGACGCAGACCATCTAGAACTGGTATTGCCGAGGGGCGGGCATCTCCAGCTCCAGTTGTTTCCACATTGCTCTCAAGAGAAACCATAGCAGGATATTCTCCTGCGAGCAGTTTTTATGAGTTCCTCTCTCCCCGCATCTTTGCCAGCACTTGTATTTAGGGCTTCTAAATTGTTGCCAATTTAAATAGGTGTCCAGTGTTACCTAATTGTTTCAATTTGCAGTTTCCTGGTTATCCCAGTTACCAGTGAGAATGAGTACTTTGCATATACCTGTTGGCTTTTCAGGCTTCCTTCCCTCTGGATCCCCTGCTCATATCATTTGCCCATTGTTCTGCCAAGTTGTTGATTTTGTCAGGTATATGTTTTAAATATACATATGCACACATATACACATACATGTACTTTTCCCAGTCTGTACCTTGTCTTTTCACTTTATTTTTTTGTTTGTCTGTTTTTTGGGTTTTTTTGTTTGTTAGATGGGGAAAGGTAATTAGGTTTATTAACTTAATTTATTTTTTAATAGAGGTGCTGGGGATTGAACCCAGGACCTTATGCATGCTAAGCACATGCTCTGCTACTGAGCTATTCCCTCCCCACTACTTTACTCTTTTGAGAACAGCCCACACTGCTAACATTGGTTTACTTTTTATTTTTCCTTCTTTTGAGTGGAATTTTCATCAATATTTATAAGTCACGTGGGCTGCAGTTTCTCTTCCTTATACTATCTTTCATATCAGGGTGGTACATTACTTATGCAATGAGGTCAGAAGCATCTCTGTTCTCCGGGAATGTTGGTTTGGGTTGATTTCTAACTTGAATGTTTGGTAAAACTCAATAAAACCACCTGGGCCTATTATTTCTGTTATTTAGTGATTGATTGATTTGCGGGGGGGCTGGGGGTGATGCGTGGAGTTACACTACTGGTTATTTTATGGTTACTGGTCTCTTTAGGCTTTCTATTTATTGAAAAAGTTTTGATGCATTTATTTTTTTCCTAGGAGATTGCTTATTTCATCTGGAATTTTAAGATTTCTTTTAGATATATCCCACAAGTTTTGCTATGGCATGAATTTACTGATCAGTTAATAACTTTTTTTCTATTGGCCATTATAATTTTCTCTGTGAATTTAGTAAATTAAAATTTTTTCAGATGCATTGGATATATTTTGGGGTTTTTTTTTTGTATTAATTTTTAACTGTATTGCGTTGTACTCAGATCATGCTCTACAGGAAATTGATTCCTTGGTAGCTTTTGAGATTTGCTTTGAGGTGTCTTAATTGACCATTTTAAAAAATAAATGTTTAATGTGTGCTTGGGAAAGAAATGTGTTTTAAAATGTTGGCTACAAGTTTGTCTATATTCACTAGATCAAGCGTGTTACTTCTGTTAAAGTCGTCTTTATTCATACTGATTTTTGTCTGATCTCTTAAATCTTTATTAAAATCTCTTAAGATATGGTTTTGTCATTTTCTCCTTAGAGTTCTGTCAGTTTCCGCTTTCATTGTTATGTAGTTAGAGGAGTTAAAGTTCCTGGTGACTTTGGCTTCCCCTTGAATCACTTCTTTAAGTGTTGAAATGTAATCTTTAATAATGCATCTCACCTCAAAATCTGTTTGTTCTAGTAGAGTGACCTGGTAGATATTTATATATCCCCTCCCTCCTTTAGTTGTCTTTTGTTTTCTTATTTTTTAAAATGTGTCTTGTAGCTGGTTTTAATCTGATTTGAGACACTCTTTTAGCTGGGGAGTTTAAGTCATTCATATTTACCACAATTCATGATTTATGGTTGGTTTTATTTCTACCATCTTATTTTATGCCTTCTAGTTTTCATGCTTTTTTCTTTTTATTTCCTCTTTCTCTTGGATTGAATGAGCTTTTTTAATTCCAGTAACTCCCTCCCACTCTATACACTTTGGAAGTTATATATTCTCTTTCCTTTCAGTGTTTACCCTTAATTTTAACATACTTACAAGACATAAAGTCTAAAACTAGTCAGTTTTTCTGCCTTTTTCTAGAGAAGACCCTGAAACCTCTGAACTCTGATTGACTCTTTCTGTCTTACATGATAGTTTATCTGGGTATGGAACACACAGTTGATTGTTTTTCTTAGCATTTCCCGGGTGCTTTCCCATGTCTTTGTTTCTGAGCTTGCTTTAAGCCTGCTCGCAGTGAGTCTCATTACTCTCTCTGTAGGTAACTTGTCTTTTCTCTGTATTCAAGGGTATTAGCCTATTATATAAAAGGTTATATTTTACATTTTGAGTAATACCAAAATGCATTCATTTTAAATGGTAAAAACACAGCTATAACCTACAGTTTGGGTATCTTTAGAATTGTATTTTGATTAAAAGACTCTGGTATTCTCTTTTGCTATGTCTGTTAATGCCGTTGATAAGATAAAATCTTTGTAGTTCTGGAAATTTAGATCCTTCATCTGGGGAGGGTCCTCGGTAGTGGCAGGTTGGCAGTTGTTACTGGTTGATGTTGACTGATGTGAACATCATCATATGTATATTGTGGGGAGTTTGGGGTAGCAGTGATGAAGGAGAAATGGGTCTGAGAGAACAAACCAACTCTGTGGTGCTGATGTTACATAACGGTCTCTCTCTCTCTCTCTCTCCTCCCCCCCCTCCCCCTCTCCCTCTCCTTTCAGACTGGTCGAATTGACAAATCCTACCCGACAGTATGCGGCCACACAGGACCAGTGCTGGACATAGACTGGTGCCCACATAACGATCAGGTCATCGCCAGCGGATCCGAGGACTGCACGGTGATGGTAAGCTACTGGGGCTCACCTGCTGCTTTCAGAGTGTGTGTGTGTGGGGGGGACTCGAAATGCAGACAGTCGGTAGTTTTGAATGTCCATTGGCTTAGGAAAGAATTTAGTACACTAAAATTCAACTACAGGTAAGCCATCTGCAAGCCCTTCTGTCAAGAAGTGAGACCCTAATGTCTTTTTTCTTCTTCTGTGTGAGTGTGTGTGCACGCACATCCTTGTTAACAGTTGGCACATCTTCTTGGTGGGAGGATTTTCAGGAAAGTAAAATGACTTCCCAGGAATTCTGTGAAAGTCATTGGACCACATGACCTCCCTCCCCCTCAAAAAGGAGAGAAAAAATCGCTAGCATGAATTCTATGTTACAGTGAAATATGAGGCCAGAGATTATACGTGTAAATGGGTTATGAAACAGATACGGAGAGATAGCAGAGAGTTTTTGCAAAAGTGCTTATTTCCAAGCTGATGTCTAGTGGACCTTGGATAAGAAGGTCCTTTTTATGTAGATCTACAGACAGCCAACTTGAAACGTTTTTAAAGTGAGTTCTTTCCATTCCCTAGTTTAGATTCCAAAAGGAGGTTATGTACGAAACCAGGGTGTGGGGTCCTTGTTACTGTAAAGCTTCTTGTTCTCGATTATGTTCTTCTCAGCCTGAAAAGGTAACTGTGGGTTTGGATCAGTTTGTAATCCTGGCCCAGCATCTGTTGGAAAGGCTAGGTGTGAGCACGGCCCGGGGAGCTGGAGCAAGTGCTGTGGTGAGTGAGGGAAGGTGTAGCCCCCGGTAGGACCGGCAGCCGGTCTCCCACGCCAGGTGGATGGCTTGGAGGTGAACCGCGCTGCTTTCATTTCCTTCCCTCTTCCTTTCCTGTGCACCAAACCAGACTAAGAAACATTGTTTGGAAGGCTTTATTAATTAAAATTATTTTATACAAACACAAACTAATTCTTGAACTGTGCCATTTAAACATTTACCCATTTTTCCTCGTGGACTTTTGGCTGAGGATAACTCCTCCTGTGATCTCATGATTTTGGCAGCCAACGCATATTAAAGAAACATGCTGCTGTTAAAAGGAATTGTTCCGTTTAACATGCCTTGCTAGCTTGATCATTTTAATGGCTGCAGACACATTTTGCAAGAAGAAAGGAACAGTATTTAGACCCGATGCCAAAATCTTGAACTAAGAGTCTTAACCTCTCTTGAAGAAGCAGGTTTGATCCCTTTCTCCATCTCCAGCACTGTTGGTCGTGTTGCCCTTTTTAAAAAAACTCACTAAACAAACTGTTCAGTGAATTGAGTTAAGGGATTTATTACAAAGTGAACATTCTGTAACCACCACCCAGGTCAAGAAATGGAACTTTCCCAGCCTTCTCAGACTTTCCCTGAGCCCCATCCCAGTCACAAGCCCCCTTCCCTCTGCAAGGACCAGTTATTCTTCCTTGCTGTTTCTTTATGGTTTTAATCACACACACACAGACACACAGACACACACACACACACACACACACACAAGTGTGTATCTCTAGATGCTGTAGCTTAGTCTTTCAAGTTGTAAAAACTTGATATATCTTCTACGTCTCTCCTAATCTACAGGTTCTTCCTCCATCCTTCCATTTTCTTGTTGAGGAAAAGCCTGACCTTTGACCTGTAGCTTCCAGCAGTGCAGATTTTGCTGCCTGCACCCTAGTGGTCCAGCTCCCCCAGCATCCCCAGCCTCTGGATTCCCTGCAAGTTGGCAGCAGGATCCCGGAGTGTGGTTAGATTCAGACTTTATCCCTTTGACAAGACTGGAGCTCATGGCACCTTACTTTTGAGTTTTTCAGGTTCTGATTTGTAGTGTTTCCTGACTTGTATTGTTTTCTTAATAATGTCTTTTCTCTTGCTTTGGAATGTGTATGGTAGTTTTTATCTTTTTTTGGAGCTGTTTTTAGCACTATTGTATTATCTGTAGGGATGCTATTCTGTACCTTATTCTTATCCTTTTTTTCTCATAGTAATTTTGGAACCTTAATTTTCTTTTTCCCTCTCGCATATTTTTATTTGTGGGTCGTTTTCCTGAGCTCTTGAAAGGCAGCTTGGTTCTGACCTGGCAGAGCTCCCTCTTCTGTCGTTGTCAGGTAGTGTTCAGAGCGCGGTGGCTTCCTCCCCGAGACTTCCTGACCTGCTTTTCTTTGGCCTTTCTGATTCCTTTGTCCATCCTATTTCTGCCCCGCTTAGATGTGATTCCGTTTCTGGGAATTTCCGCTCCATGTGGGCCTGTCTCAGAAGGGAGTCCTCTGGTTGGCTTCTAGAGCACGGGGGTCTGGATTGCTGCAGCCCCTTCAGGACTTTTTATTTCAGGTCCCTGTTCTCAAGTGCTGTTGGAGGAGGCAGAGCCCCTCCGGGTTCCACCGTGAGCTCATTTTGGCCTGCCCTTATCAGGCCTGTGGGGCGCCCCATTGCTGCCCCCTGGTTTTTTCCACGCAGAAGCCAGTAACACACAGGTCAGGGGCTGGCAGTGGTTCTCCTCCGCCCACTTGCGTTTGGGCTGTCACTTAGTTTTCTATAAATATTGTCCCTGTGATTTTGTTTTGTTATCTGCCTGCTCTGTGCTTTTATGAAGGGGCTTGGGAAGATCCCAGACTTGTGCTGCCACTGACACCACTGTCTTCCCAGAATCCTTTAACATCGCCCCTTTACTGGTGTTGCCAGAGTGAACATTTTGTAAATTAAATAATGCCTTGGGATCAATTTTCCTCCTACTTTTTTTTTAAAGCTCTTAAGTGTGGCACTGATATTTTAATCACTTAATGGCCCTCCAGTCATTTGTTATCATTGTTGGGGGAATGACAAGAAACGTTAGTAACTCAGCAATTGAAAAGAAATTTTAACTGCCCCATCTGCTTCTTAATACCTCATTTTCCTCTTTGTTCTCCTGAAGGTGAAAGAACACCATCCGATAGATTGAATGGTTTCAAACGGCACCATTTATTATTATTTTTTTAAAAGCACAGAAAAGTTCTGTGTAGTTTCCTAAGCATAAGCTCTTGGTAGTAGCCCCTGAGCTGGAAGTGCAGAGAGCGCACCAAGGTGCAGCTCTGAGAGAGGGAGGGCGCTGGGAGAAGCCCAGGACTGGAGTTCTGAGCACCTGCAGGTCGCTCACATGCTCTCAGCCTCAGTTTAAAAATAAATAAGCAAATAAGTAAATAAATAAATCAATAATGAAGCCAATCGAGAGAATCAAGGAAGGTATAAATGTGTAATGAGTTTTTTTTTTTTTGCAGTGAGTTTTGATGTATAACTATCGTGGATTCATAATAGTAAGAATACATTTAGCAAATAATCCAGTAGAAAAAAATGCAATACAACCAGTTTACCCAATGAACTGTAAAAGGATTAAATCGATTTTAAAAACTGCTTTCGTATTTCTACTATAATTCCATTAAGTCTTCCGCATTTAAGCTGTACTTTGTTAGTCTTGTGAGCATCGATTGCATGGCAGTGATGTCATGTTGACCGCAGATTTAGAGAAGGATGGCCAGCCTTGTGGTACATCCCTCCGTCTCTCAGAGGTGGCTCCCTTAAGCAGCCTAAAAGTAAATTGTAATGGCATAGTTTGCCTTTGGTGTATTACTTTTTGAAGTGATGTTTTTATACCAGCAGATAGCAATGATATAAACCCTCTTCCCAAGACTATTCTCTGCTCCTAGGTTTTCCAGGTTTTTGGTACTGTGAGTTCTTTTCTCTAACAATATCTTCTCATAGAGAGTTTAAGACATTGTAGCCGTTGAGTATTTCACTTGGGAAAATTGTAATTGTAGCTCCAAGAAAATAACAGTGCTTTGAATGGTGCAAAGAACAGCCAAGGTGAGTTTAGAGAATGATGTGGATTAAACACTGTCCCTTCTCTGCAGGGTAGTAACCAAACACAAATGCAAAAAAAAAAAAAAAAAAAAAAGGCCAATTCAGACAAGTGGGGTTACATAATTGGTTCTTCCAGAGTCTGGGAGAGGGAAAGATCTTGCAGGCAGAGCGTTCTTATTTGTCTTCACCTAGATGTTCTGACTGGTCCCAAATGGTTAAGTTTAAATAGACACTTTCCCCTCTCCCAAATCAGTGTTACACTCCTGTGGAAATCAACAAGATCAGACCCCCTTTACCCACTTCTGCTTCTATTGTGAATTTTCCTAGTGCGGTTTTTGCCTTGGAATAAACAGGGAGGTGGTGTAGTTGGAGATGAGAGTGCATTCCTCGGGGCTCCTGTCACCAGTCATTCCGCAGGACTTCCAGTTATTTCCTTTCTGTACAGTTTGCCTCTGGGCCATTTGCCAGCAGTCATTGTAACCTGGGCACATTGGAACCCGGCTCCCAGGTCCTGACTTCTCAAGACCAGTGTTGTTCTCGGCATCATGGTGCATTTAGGGCTGCCCCGACTCTGCCTCCTACCCTTTGGGGTGGTTGGATCAGTGGCTTCTGGAAGGGGTTGTGCTGCTCTGCAGCTGCTGTAGAATCTCCACTTCTTCCTGTCCCTTCAGAGCATCACCTCCTTCTTTCTCTAGTTGGAATTGGTTTCCTTAGCATTTAAAAAATATGGCCTTTGGGAGGAATAGCCCTTTTTATAGCTGTAACTCTAGTGCCTGGCCCAGTAGCAAGTTCATGATGGGTGATTAAAATAGGGAAGCAGTGTCTGGAACACTTTGGGTTTGCTTTAAATTTGCGCTGCGTTTGGGAAATAAAACCATCAAACAAATGCAGTTAAAAATTACTCTTTGAGAGAAACGCACGTTTCTTAATTTCCTCCACGTTTTTATTAGAACAGTTCTCTTGAGCTGTTCTTTTTCCATACTCAGAATTTCACATGGGGAGAGGATGCCAGTCATGTAGTAGTTCTTGAACTTGTGACTAAAATGGTTTTTTTCCAGAACCATGTTGGGTTTTCACTCGTATTGATTCCCTTTTTCATCTGGAAGCTCTTGGGACTGATTGTGTTTTTTTTTCCTTTCTCTCAATACAAAAGAAAACATTACCACAGTAATGTGTTGTCCACGTAGAACATGTCAGGAATACACGGTATTATTCAAAAAAGAAAAGGAAAGGAAACAGCCACAGCCGCGGGGAGAGCGGGAGGTCCCCGCTGGGCCGGGCACCCAGGCAGGCGCCGCAGAGCGTGCTGGCCGCCTTCTCTTCTCTCCTCTCACCGCGTGTGTTTTTGAAAAAGCTGATTGGTGTTAGAGGACTTGCCGCAGCCATGGAACAGAAGAAAGCTAACCGACCAGCCTAGAGATCGGGGCCGACCTCCCCCGCACTGACTGGCCCGGGCACTAGCCAGAGCCTTCACGTGTGTCGTGTCCTGGACGTGAATATAGGGCTGAATTAACGGAAGACAAATTAATTTCATTCCACAAAATCCTGATGTTCAGACTTAAAAATCTGTGTTGGGGTCACAGTGGGGCACAGTTACAGCAATAAAAATAATCATGAACATAGAGTAGATCTGTTTTTTTCTTTTTTTTTTGCCAACCACTGTCTGAAGCGTGTACCTGCTGGTTGCGTTTCATCAGCAGCAGCAACCCAGCGAGGCAGGAGTCCGTCTCGTTTTACCTCTCAGGAAACACGGGCCCAGGAGTGAGTGACAGTGCTGTCAGAGGTCTCCGTGTTTGCCATATTTCATGTTCGGGTAGCGCTTCGCCATGCAGAATGTTTCAGCTCGTTTGGCCTTTCCAGTCACCCCCGAGGAAGCAGAGCGCTGCTGTCCCCAGTATCAGGGAAACTGAGGCTCCCAGAAGTCAAGTCCCTCCTTAAGGCTGACGTGGCCAGTCAGTGTCCTAGCCCTGGCAGGAGCCCGTGTCTCCTGACATCCAGGCCAGCATCCAATCTGCCACCCCAGGCTGCGTACCAGGTTATGCACGAGAAAACTGAGCGGGTCCCGAATGAGACTCCTGCCCTTTGTTGTCCCTGCCCTGCAGGAGGCAAGCCCTCTTCAGTCCAGACTGGTAGGTGGCCGGAGCAGCGGAGAGCCCTGCGGAGATGTGTCCGCACGGCGTGGGAAAGACTGACAGACGTGTCGGCTCTCTGCACAGCCCGCCAGCCGCTTCCCAGCAGAGGCGTGAGCGCTGCTGTCTTCTCATTTCCTTGCACGGACATTTCCCATCACTGTCTCCTCCTGCTGGAAATCCATGTTATCTTTGTCACCCGGGGGCCTTTTCCCTGTCAGCCCCTCAGCCAGCCTCTTTGGAGCATCTGCTCTTTAGAAAATGGCTCTCTGCACCTGTGCTTTTTATTTGGAAACTCGATACTTGAATTCCTTCCTTCTCCGCTTCCTTCCTTCCCCACTTCCACCTGTCACCTCACTCCTCTTCACCCTTAGAGGGCATCTCCTCGGGAGGTCTTCCTGGACCCACCAAACTTGGGTAGCAAGAAGGTAACCTTGTGACACTTAATTTTCACTCGGCACTCAGCTTATACAAGCATTGCGTTGGTGACGTAGCCTGTGTGGCATCCTGGTGAAGAGGACAGGTAGTGACCATTGCTGACACTTACCAGAGCCTCCCTCATGTCAGGCATTACTCTAAGTGCTCCCTATTCTTGTTCCCATGTTGGTCTCAAAACAAGCCGCGGGAGGGCAGGGTCATTATTGTTCCCATTTGATAGACTAGGGAAGTCAAAGCTTGGATAGCTTAAGTGACTGCCCCCGAAGTCAGTACCGCTGATACAGGCAGAATCAGGAGTTGAAGTCTGCTCTAGGGCCAGAGCCGCGTTCTTCACTGCACTGTACTGTCTCTGCGTTTTGGGGGCACTGACTGTGCAACGCACTGTTCTGGGACCTTCTCAACTCGCTTAACCCTCACAGCAGCTCTGGGAAGTACAGTACTGCTGCTTCCCTGTGCGGTGATGTGAGCTGTTTGCCTCGGTCCATTACAGCGAGGGGCCCGGGCGGGATTTGAACCAGGATCCGTTTGGCTCCAGAGCTCCTGCTCCAGGCATCTGCTTGTCTTTGCTGTCTCACAGCTGACCCTGCTTTCTGTAGACCGTCGCCGCTCCAGAGCGGGGCCTGTGCTGTCGCTCTTCCCCGTCGCCCGGCACCGGCCTGCGGTACAGTGGCCCCGCAAGGGAAGTGCTGCGCGACTGAGTGAGCAGGGCGGCGATGTGGGTGAGGGCCTGGTGAAGTGCGCAAGCCTCGTTGAGGGAGCCATTGAATCTGCTGAAAGTGAGAGAAAGAAGGGACAGAGTTTCCTTATTTTAAAAATTACACAATAAACGTTTTGCCCCATCGTTAAGATCTCGCCATCCAAGGAAAAGGTGGAGGGAGCAGCTAGAGGAAGGAAAAGTTGAAGTCCTGTCGTGAGCTCTGCTTTGCCCTTGGATCTAAGACCAAAGCCTCCATCATTTCACGCCTCATTGGGGATTTAGAACATAGAAAGCGCACTGTTTAATTGTGGTCCGTCAGGCACTGAAGGTTTTAGGATCCCGGTAGGAGGCCCGGCAGCCTGTGGTCACAGTGCCACCTGGAGCTGGCAGCTGGTATTACCACTGTTTTGGTTCTAAGCGTGGGTCAGAATTCATCTTGCAAAACGCATTTCCTGTTGAGTCACCAAAATCCCATGTCATAATTGTTTCTCTGCTGACTTCTCTGCTTTGAGCAAATCAGCAGTTGTTGTCTGTTACTTCAGTTCAAATTTCAGCCCTGCTTTACATTCAGAGAGCCAGGTTCAATTTCGAGCTGTTTTACTGATCATAAACCCTTGAATAAAAACAGTGCATAGCAGGATGGAGCAAACACGATAATGAAGGGTGACAGGTGCCCAGAGTCCCAGAAGAGGGGCCCGGGTCAGAGTCTGCTCTGTTGGGTGGAGGCTGTGGTCTGGGTGGGGGGTAGGGAGCGGCCAGGTGGGCTCCCTCCTGCCTTCCGTGCTTGTTTGCATCTGCCTTGTTTAAAATGTGCTGAGTGATGAAATTCAGGGGGAATTAGGTGATGTCCTAACCTAAGACCCTTGAAAGACAGGGTTATAATTGACCACTTAATTCATGACTGTTCCCCATTTTAGAATGGCAGACTTTTTGTTTCATTTTTTGCAGGACAAGAGAACTGAGCTGAACCTTAACCACCCCGCTGATCCAGATCCCTGCCTGCCACTAAGTGATCGAAACAGGCAGTTGTTTGTCTCCTCCTTAAAAGTCCCCAACAAAGGAAAATTCCATCTCTCACTTGTTCCAGTGTTGAGCATGACTTTTTCACTGGCCAGCTGTAAATTTGTTATGAACTAGTCTCATAAAATCTTTTTTGGTAGAAAATGTGCTTGTTTAATCTTCATATAGAATGAGATAATTGTTTTAAATTTTAGCCCTTTCACAGACTTAAATATTACTTAATTTCTGGTTTTAAAGCCTTGCTGAGATAAAATGCACATACACTTGACTCATTAAAGTGTACAGTTCGTGATCTTGAGTGTTTTCACTACCTCAAAAAAGAACCCCATATTCTTCAGCTGTCATTCCCCTCCCCACCACCAAGCACTAAGAACCATCAATCTACTGTGTCTGTATTTTCCTTTCTGGACATCTCATACATACGGAATCCTACACTCTGTGGACTTTCATCGCTGGTTTCTTTTCCTTAACCTTACATCTTCAGGCTCCATCCATCCTGTCCATGTGTCAGTACTTCACTCCTTTCTGTGGTCAGATGCTCCTTTGTGTATCACATTTTGTTTATCCGTTTATTGGTTGCCGGACATTTGGGTGGTTCCCACCTTTCGGCTATTATGAATATTGCTGCTATAAAATTTGCGCACAAGTTTTTGTGTGGACATATGTTTTTGGTTCTCTTGGGTAGACGCCTACGAGTGGAATTGCTGGGTCATATGGTGACTCTGTGTTTGGTCATTTGAGGAACTTCCAAACTGATTCCCACGGTGGCTGCACCATTTTACATTCCCAGCAGCAGTGCGTGAGGGCTCTGAATTCTTTACATGTCTTTGATTCCAAACTTTTAGTGGGTGTGAAGTGCTGTTTTATTGTGGTTTTGATTTGCATTTCCCTGATGACGAATAATGTTGAGCATCGTTTTATGTGCGTTTTTACCATTTACATATCTTCCTTGAAGGAATATCTGTTTAGATTCCTTGCCCATTTAAAAAACTGGGTTCTTTTCCTTTTATTGTTGAGTTGTAAGTGTTCTTTACATATTCTAGATAAAAGTTCCTTATCACACAGATGACTTCCATGTTATTTTCTCTCATTTGTGGGTTGTTGATTGTCACTTCCTTGATAGTGTCCTTTGAAACATGAAAAATTTTAATTTTGATGAGGTCCAATTAGTTTTTCTCTTTCGTAAGTTTTCTATAGTACTTGTTACAAAACTATTAGGTATCTTTTCATTTCCCAAATGTAAAATTACAGAAAATATGTTTGAAAAACTGCACCATACCCCAAGAACCTTTAGTGGGCGAACAGGCTTTGCTGCAGGCTTCATCCCAACGCTTCTCTTCACAGGTGCTTCGATTGTTTTGCATCTTCCTTTCAATTTTTTGCATGCTTCTAACTGGAGAGTTTTGAGCTTAACAGGGAATTTAAAGTGAAATCTCCACTAATATTAAATAAAAGCAGAGAGGTAACATTTTGTAGCCCTTATGGATATTCTGAACTTTGATATCCTGTTATGTTTGAAAAACAACTGTATGCGTTTCACCACATCTGCCTTTTACCCAAGGCATCGTGTGTTCCATCTGTGCAGAGCAAAGGCTCCAAACTGGGTGGCCACGGTGACTGTGGTGACGAAAGCCCATCTCTTTCATCTGGATCGTCTTTCTTCCTTTCCCAACAGGTGTGGCAGATCCCAGAGAATGGACTCACCCTTTCCCTGACCGAGCCCGTGGTCATTTTAGAAGGCCACTCAAAGAGAGTTGGCATCGTGGCCTGGCACCCGACGGCCCGCAACGTGCTTCTCAGCGCAGGTAGGAGCCGAGCAGGCCCATCCTTTCCCCTCGCCCTCACCTTCCCAGCCCTCTGTGGAGGGAGTAGCCACCGCGCTGTGACTGTGCACTCACTGCTTTGAAGCAGATCATTAGGGATCCGTGGTGGGCGCTGAGATTGGGAACCCCCAGCCCGTGTGAGCGTAGCGGCCACTCGGGTGGTTCCGTGGAAGCTGTGGACGTCCTGCTTAGGAAAATGCACAGACACTTGCTTGCCGGAAAGGTCAGCAGGCTCGTGGTTCCCGCCAGGGCCTCCACGGACCACAGCTGGTCTTGTCCCTGAGGTAGACGGAGCCCGAGTGGGAGCCAGGAGCCTGGGTTCCAGCTCTGGTGTTGCTGCCAGCTCTGGGGTGATCCTGTGAATCAAATATCCGTTTGAAAAATACTTTCATGTGTCTCCTTATACACATAGTCCATTTATATTACAGAGACTATATATAAACAAAAGCAAGAAAGTAAGAATCACTTATAATTCCACCACCCGGAGGGAGCGTCATCATTACCGTTTCATTGCTTCTTTCCAGGAGGTATTTCTGTGCTCAGAAATGATTTTACACACAAAGATGGGTTTAGACACTTTACCCATGACCTGCTTTCTGCACTTAATGGCACACTGTGGTCCTTTTCATGTGCTATTAAATGTCCTATGATCTTTTTAATGACTCCATTAATAGTCCATTGTTTGGGTACCTCCGTTTATTTAATTAGTCCCCTCTTTTGGGACACTGAGGTTGTTTCTGACTTTTCACTGTTAAACAGCACTGCAGTGAATGCTTGTGACCTAACCTTAGTGTTGCTACTGGTTTCCCACTCGTGGTTTCCAAGTGTCATCTTACCGAAATCTTTTTCTTTGTCTAAAATTTGAGAATTTATCTTCTCTTATAGAATAAGCAATACAGAGAACAGGAGGGAGCTTTGTGGGGTGATGAAAATGTTCTAGATCTTGAATGTGATGGTTGCTCACATGAATATACACGTTTGTCAAAACTTAACGAGTATATACTTTAAATGGGAGCATTGTATTCTGTGCAAACTATACCGTAATAAAATTGGCTTATAAAAAAAGCAGTGCTAGTGTTAATGGTAAAATTTTACAGATCGTTCTCCTCACCAGTAAAAAGGAAGGGAGCAGTTCAGTTTTTAACTGGGAATGAAAGGTATTTATGATACAGGGCATTAAGCTGAAAATCTAATGCCCGGTACCTATTGAAACCAAGGGCTACTTTTCTGGAAAAAAAAAAAAGTAGGATTCTTTTTTTTAAATCACAGTTGACTATAACTAGGAACCCTTCCCGTGTTCTACTCAGACCCTCAGTCTGCTGAGACGAGAGAACAGTTCCAAGGGTGGAATTCCGTGATGGGGACGCCCTGCTGGCGTGGCGCCTCCTTGAGGTCAGACTTGGCCGTCAGCCACGGACCGAGCCCCAGTCTCCCTTTTACAAGCAAAGGGGAATGCCTGATTGCAGCGCCGTGCATTTTTTTTTAAGACTGTATGATCCATGCACAGTGGCTGAAAGTTACCTGCTTGCCTGTGATGAACGAGGCAGAGGAAGGGCCGCATCTCCATCCCAGAGCTCAGCCCCAGCTCTTCATACTGTTGTGCAGTTCTCTCACCCATTTCCTCCCTCTGCCCCTTAGGTCACTTGGGTGTCCTGGCTGTTAATGGCTAATTTTCCTAAGTGCTTGCACAACTAGCTTATGGATAGGAATCCCCCTTCAGGAGGGTCCAGCCCTTATTTTGCTTCATCCTTGATCTCCTGTTCCAGAAGCAGCAAATGGTGCCTGTTTTGAAAGGGGCCGGCGGCACTTGGGGCCAACTCAGGAAGGGAGGGTGGAGTTGGCGAGCTGAGGGGCTGTGGCTGGGTCGACCTTGTGGCCTCTTCGGGGATCAGTTTCTGAGTTCACGTGCCTTCTTGATTACAGTTTGGGCTTCTCAAATCAGGCCAGTCTTGGCCTATTTTTCTCCCCCTTTAAAGATAAGATCTGCTGTGAGCAGGTGGCTAGGCCAGCCCTTGGGTTCCCTTCACTTACTGTAATTTACATGCGTTCATCCATGACCGTGTCTTACAGCATCAGTGATCGGAATAACCTATCCACCCTTTTTCTTGAGCATCTGAAACAGTTATTTAAACCCTTTATTTTTAGATCCTCTGGGGAAGAAATGAGCTGTATTAATTTTGATGCTTGTTTTACTAGAAAAGGAAACTTATAATCACTCAGGGTCCACCATCCCAGTTAGGTCTTAAAAAAAAAAGGATTCGATTTTCTTGTAGTTCTCTGTTTTTTGTGTCGCTGGTGTTTTTGTTTGTTTCATGTGAACCCAAACTTAAGCTGTGTTTTTCCTTGAACATCTTTCTTTTATACAAATTTTTTTTTTCTTGGTCACTGCAGTTTTTAACTCCCAGTAAGTAGGACTTTGTTCAGTTCACATCTTCGTTTCAATACACGTGTATTTAGCCTCACTGCACTTTTGGTTTTCACAAACGTACTGCTGTTCAGGTGTTTCTCATCTCCCAGGGGTGTGGTTTTGCTTGCTTTCAGGTTGTGACAATGCCATCATCATCTGGAACGTGGGGACGGGGGAAGCCCTTATAAACCTGGACGACATGCACTCGGACATGATCTACAACGTGAGCTGGAACCGGAACGGCAGCCTGATTTGCACAGCTTCCAAGGACAAGAAAGTCAGAGTGATTGATCCCCGGAAACAAGAGATCGTCGCTGTACGTATTCTCCGGACGAAAGCCCCGCTGTTGGGCGCGCTTCAGTGAGCGAGAACGCCTGCTTTTCAGGGCAGGTGGAGAGGCTGCACTCCTGGTCGGCGGACCCTTGCTGTGTGCCAGCGCCAGACCGAGAATCAGAAAAGGCTCGTCCAGCCCCCCTTCTCTGCAGAGTTGCACCTTTCCCAGCTTTCCCCTGCGCCTTCCCTCTCTTCCTGGTGACCCTTTTTCACAAAGAAACAAAGTTTCTGTCAGCATGCTAGAGTCCTCAAGAACTTGGGGGCCTAGAGCAGCTCCCCACACGGTCTGCCGCCAGCTGGCTGAGGGCTAAAGGCTGGCAGGTTGATTCCCTGCCCTGTTCCCCAGTCGGTCGTTAAAGGGCCTCACAGGACACAGCCTGGTCTCTGGGTAGTGCTGCGTGCTAGCTCTGCCCCCTGAGCTAGGCCTCAGGAGAATGACAAAAGGTGAACATTTGGCACCTGAGTCTGGTTGAAATGGCCTGTGTTGGATCCAGAGATGCCTCACTTCCGCCCACTCTGTGCCCCTGTGATTGTCCTTCTCTGAGACACGACTCTTTGCCCGTGTTACTTCTCAAGAGTCGGGCTACAGTCGTGGCTAGTGCTTACCGAGCGCTGGGGACTTGTCTGGCCTCATGCAGCATGCTTTCTCCTCTAGAAACTTCCAAGGGCGGGGCTAGTGCAGTCCCACTGAACAGACGAGGTTAAGGAAGGGGTGTGCCAGGCTACGCTTTGTATCCTGTGAAGTGACAAGAAGCTGCGGGGTGGGTCCACCCTTCAGGTTATTATCCTCTCGAGAAACGGACATTTGGCAGAGCCTTTTTGTGTGTTTTATTTTGCGGTGCATGGACTTGGGTTGGCAGCAGGGTGTGGGGAAGGACCGAGGCTTTTCAGTCTAATCCTGGCGCTCTTGCTTGGCAACCCGCCGAGGGAACTTGGCCAGAGGGCTTCGCGTCACTGTGTTTTGTCCTCCTTCAGGAAGGGGAGGTGGTTAATACGGACACACGCACGTGAGCACACCCCTTTGATGTGAATTGCATGTGGGGTGTGGTTGGGTTCACTGTCTGAGCCCCCACCCTCCCACCCATTTTTCCTTCTTCAGTCTGCATGTGTGTGAGGTGCCCGTCTGCTCTCTCCCCAGGAGAAGGAGAGAGCGCATGAAGGAGCACGTCCCATGAGAGCCATCTTTCTGGCCGACGGCAACGTCTTCACCACTGGTTTCAGCCGCATGAGCGAGCGGCAGCTGGCCCTCTGGAATCCGGTACGGCCCTCCCCAGCCCGTCCCCAGCCTTGCCCCCGCCGTGCAAGCCTGCAGGCCTGCGCACTCCCGCTGCTGAGCCGGGCTTTGGGTTGGTCAGTGGATCCTAGGATTCTTCCTGTCGGTTGCTGACCTCCCGCTTGTCTTAAATTGGATGTGAAATTCTCATCCTCACTGGAGACTAACTGCTAACTGTATCTTAAAAATGCATTCTTGAGACTCCCAAAGAGTCTGTGTTGACTGTGTTTTTTAGAAAGAATGCATGAAGAATCCAGTGTTTTATACTTGGGAAATAAAGTTCTAAACTTAGTTAAAATATTTTGTAAGAACATGATCTGATGTCTAAGTCAAAAAAGTCCTGCTTGGGAAAGTGTTCCTAACAGCACAAGTGGGAAAAACGTGCTGAGCTGCAGGTACGCCATGACCCCAGTCTGTGCGTCTGTGTGTTGGAAGGAAATAGGCCGAAGTGGTCATTGTTTCTGCCACCCACTGGGCTGTGGGATTATGGGGTATGGGAGGATTTTTCTGTTTTTTTTCCTTGTACCTTTTAACTTTGTAAAGACCATAAGTTTATTTTTTAATAATAAAAAAAAGTACTTCAAAAAAAGCAAGTAGTCACAGAGGAAAAGGGCTTCTCGTCTTTGTTGTGGATGCACGCTGATGTGTGCGGTAATCATGTCAGACCAACACGGTTTCCAGGGGAGTTGGATTCCATTTAGTGCTCCTATTGGCAATTACATGTATGGGCATTATACGTGCATTGTCTAAACTTTCATTATTTCAGGGAAGTAGCTAACTTAATTAGGAAAGAAAGAATGTATGCTCTTAAAAAGTTTATCTTTTAAAAATGTGTGTGTGTTTGTATATGTATATATTTTTTTCCTTTTCAGAAAAATATGGAGGAACCAATTGCTCTTCATGAAATGGACACTAGCAATGGGGTGTTGCTGCCTTTCTATGACCCCGACACCAGTATCATTTACTTATGTGGGAAGGTAAGCAGTAATTTTGCTGTTTGATATTAAATGTAATCCTGTAAGAAGAGTTTATCCTTCAGAGACTTAGTCAGTGGGCAGTTGTGTAGAGAACAGTGCTTCGTGGGTCCGAGCTCTTGAGGGCCTCAGAGACCCCCCAGAGGTTCTCCTTCCTGGAGCCCACTGCTCAGGCCCAGGCCTTGAGGTCATGTGGTCAGACCCAAGTGTAGAAGGTGACAGTTAATATAGGAAGGCCCCGCACTGAGCTCCGAAAACCCTCCTCCTGCCTGATGACCTCTGCCTGGCCGCAGGGGTGGTAGCTTTATTATGTGCTATTCCTTCATTTTAGGAGGTGGTGACTCCAGTATTCCTGATTCTTTTGTAGGCTCAATCTTCCTTAGAATGTTTGTGGTTGAAATAAATGCATGAGTAACACTGGAGCTGTCGTGCGTATGTGTTCCCTTCCCCAAACCTGTTAGTCCCTTGCTGGGTGAAGCGGCGGCTGCTTCACTTCTGTTCAAGCTGCTGGAGCGAACTGCAGGCCTGCCTGACATTTTTATCGGTCAGCTTCTGAGAAACTGAGATCTTATCTGTTTCCTTGAACATTATTTCACTTGAGATGTTAACAGCTGCCACAGACTGCATCCTTACCCAGATGTTAGGCACTGGGTGGAAGGTTATTGTGAGCATGTAGATACAAATAGTGTGTGATTAGCTTCTCTTCGCTGGATTAGATGGTTACATCACTGAACACATGGAAGTGATGAGAAAGGAGAGGGCTGTTAGGGCAGAGGCCCGCCTCGCTGCTTGTCACTTCTTCTTACACGCGTACCTCTCCCCTCTGCCGGGCAGGACTCCCTTCGTTGTTTAGGGTCCTGAAACTGTGTGGTGGTTATTTATTCTCAAGAGGGACTAGTGTATGCTGCAGGTCTTCAAAAAAAACTCTGACCATTCTAAGCAAAATTATCACAGAACTGGACACATTGCAGTGGGATGGCGTTACTGTCTGGAGTTAAAGGGTACTTGCTGAAACTAATGTTTCCTAATTAGAAAGATCTTACTTCTTATCATCTGATAGTCCGGGTGAGTGTCCTCAGGTCTGTGAACACTGCTGTGCGCCAGTGAAGGGATGCTGAAATCAGCGATTGCCCTCTAGGTCCTCCTGGGCTTTTGTTTTGTTGGTTGGTTGGTTAAAGCTGAGTTGTGGAGCAGTTGTTGGGCAGGGGTGCTAATCTTTCTGCCCTGACTCTGACTCGGTTGTTGAGACCCAGTGTAGTAAAATCAGGGCCTTCAGGAAGAGGCATACGGTGCTGTTTTTAAAAGGTGTGAGAAAGAAAAATACCATATGATATCGCTCATATGTGGTATCTAAAAAGACTAAAAAGAAAAGCGACATTATGAACTCATCTACAGAACAGAACCAGACTTGCAGACTTAGTAAACAATCATGGTTACTGGGGAAAGGGGGAGGGAGGGGATAAATTCAGGACTTTGAGATTTACATGTGTTAGCCATTGTATATAAAAATAGATTTAAAAGAAAGTTTCATCTGTATAGCACAGGGAACTATGTTCAATATCTTGTAATAACCTTTAATAGAAAAAAATAAAACAAATATATGTATGTACATGCATGACTGGGATATGGTGCTGTGCAGCAGAGATAGACACGTTGTAACTGACTGTACTTCAATAAAAATATATTTATAAAATAAAATTAAAATAAAAACAAAAAATATGGTTTAAAAAAGGGGGGGGTGCTCGCATTTCCTAAGTGAGGACTTGCTCCGCCAGGAAGAGAGATCGTCGTGTGCTTTCAGCCAGTCTCTTGGGGGAAGAAGAGCTCAGTCACGTGATGGAGTCCCAGTCAGTCCCGGGCTTATGCAAGAGGGGAGAGACCCCCACCCAAGCTGGGTGTTCCGATGCACGTTAAGCACTAACTTGTCTCCGACTTCTCGTAGGGCGACAGCAGCATTCGCTATTTTGAGATCACGGATGAATCCCCATACGTCCACTACCTCAACACCTTCAGCAGCAAGGAGCCTCAGAGAGGGATGGGGTACATGCCCAAGAGGGGGCTTGACGTTAACAAGTGCGAGATCGCCAGGTAAAGAGTTGGTGTGTAAAGTGTTCAGGTTGCTGTCCCCGCGCGAGTTCCCCACGTGGCTCTCCCTGTGAGCGCGCAGTCGAGGTGTAGAATTCCTCTCTCCTTTCCTGCCTGTTCTTAGAAATGTGGAATTTTAGAGCAGGAAGGAACCATTCAAAACCATTCAATCCAACTTCGCCCTCCCCGTTCTTCAGATTATAAACTTGAAATGCAGCAGTTTAAGTGGCTTAGCTGGGGTGTATCACACTCTGATTTAAGTAGTGAAACCTTCATCTCTTGTCTTCAGGCTGCAGCTGTGGCCAGTGTCCCCAGGGAGGCAGCCAGGGGTGAGCCTGGCCCTGGGAGGGAAATGAGGAATGGGTTTCCTGCCCTGTGTAGGGACCAGCCAGGTTCCAAACTGGGCTGTGGACCCCACGGATCCAAAACTAGAGGAGCAAAGCTCTGTGGTGGGTGATAGGTTAGCCTGACTGAGGGCGCCGAGCCGGGTTATAGAACTTCTGCCTCTCCGTACTGCTCTGGAATTTTAAAAAATTTATGTTGTGTAATGCCAGTGACCTTCCTAAGGAGCAGGTTTTTTTCTCAGTACTAGTCAGCAAAAGATAATCAGTGAGATTTGCTGACTGCTGGCCATTTTATACAACAGAATAACTTAGTATTACGTAGTCAGGCATAAAAGTCACACCACACATTCTTACAACACTACATTTATATGGACATTTGTCTAAATATGCTGTGCTGGTCACGCAAATCATTGACACTTTACATCTTTAAAAATAAGTATATAAGACATTTTTATGAGCCCTTTTTTATATTAATCACTCCAGGGATTTTTCTTGAAAAATACAGTCAGCTCTATGGCTGAAATAAAGAAGGAAAGCTGTCCCCGGTGATTGTAAACTGTGGTTTAAATCAAGCTAATCAAAATGTGGTTCAGAAGAGACGGAACCTGAACTTAAAAATAACATTAAGTATTTGGGAACACGTTTGTTCTACTGTCATCTAAAAGTTTAAAAGACTGAAGTTGGCCCTTTGTATTTGCGAGTTCCAAATCCATGGGATTGAAAATAATTCAGAAATAAAAATTCCAGAAGGTTCCAAAAAGCAGAACTTGAATTTGCAGCTCATGGGAAACTACTTACGTGGTATGTGCCGCTGTTCACGTGGCATTTACGTCATACCTGGGCATTGTAGGTAACCCAGAGGTGATTTAGAGTCTAAAATGCCGGGCCACTTTATTATACAAGGGACTTGCGCCTCCACGCGCCTCTGTGTCTGTGAACCAGCCCCCCGCGGGCACCGAATGGAAGCAGGCCTTCAGGGCGCTCCCTGTTAACTCAGTGTTTCCGTAGCCGCGTCACGTGTTGGGCACTGCGCTGACCACGCGGCTGGGACCACGTCTCCTGCTCCTGACCACGCTGTGAGGTGGAGGCTGGTTTTACCCACCCGTGGATGAGGAACCCGGGCTGGGTGAGGTGGGCACGCACCCAGGCCTGGTGGGCCAGTCTCTCCACCACTCTGCCAACTGCAGGGTTTTGTGCTTTGTGTTTCCATGTTTTGGATAATTGCAACTTTTTCTCGAGTGTTAATGCATGATGTGGTTTGCTTAGATGCCAACATTTAATTCATAGCATTGTTTTCGTTTCCTTTTTAAAATCCTCTTTATACTGACAAATGTTCAGCCAGCTCAGATTGGCAGAAGGCCTGGCCCCCGGGCCGCAGATGCGAGCTGATGCGTGGGTGTCTGTCGTCTCCTGGCTGTTGACTTGGTGATTTTCTCACCAGCGCATCCTTGTCGGTCATCGTCTCCCCACAGTTGATCTGCCCCCAGATAACTGGAATTTGACTGTCACTGTAACGCAGAGACCTCCACTCCTGGTTCCTGTCTCCCATCTGCCATTTCCTGGCGTAGCTACTCTGGGCTTTCGTCTTCTCATCTGTGACGTGGGAGCGCTGAGCTCTGCGCACTGTCCAGGGTGCGTGGGGTGAGGCCCCGGGGAACGCAGTGCGCCCAGGAGTGGTCGTCGTCAAGCCTGTTGCTTGACCTCCTGTTTCACTTAATGCAACTTTGCCTTTTTTCTCCCTTGAAGATTCTTCAAGCTCCATGAGAGAAAGTGTGAGCCTATTATCATGACTGTCCCCAGGAAGGTAAGCGCCCGGTTTTCTAGGCGTCCATGTTTAAAAAAGATGTTAAAACCTGAGGCTTTCTCCTTCCTTACCTGAGGGTTTCTCCACAATGTCTCGTGCAGTCTGACCTTTTCCAAGATGACCTGTACCCTGACACGGCGGGGCCCGAGGCAGCACTGGAGGCCGAGGAGTGGTTCGAGGGGAGGAACGCAGACCCCATCCTCATCTCCTTGAAGCACGGGTATATTCCAGGCAAAAACAGGGATCTCAAGGTGGTCAAGAAGAACATTCTGGACAGCAAGCCCACGGCAAACAAGAAGTGTGACCTGATCACTGCCCCCAAGAAAACCGCAGACGCGGCCGGCGTGGTAAGGGCCGCAGGACCCCAGGGTGCCCTGGGCCTGGTCCTCTTGGAAGCGCCTTCCAGCCCAGGCGTCTACGAGCACTGTCCCAACTGGACAGACAGGGTTCAGTCAGTGGTAACAGGCACTATTTACAGAAGCCTCCCTGTCACGCAGCATTTATGACTTTGGCCCCGTTGGCTCTGTTTTTTATGATGACCAGGATAGAAGTCAGTCTGTCACCCTCTCCGAGAGTGAACAGGAGCCTCTTGGGGTTTTTTTTTTTAACTATCTTTCCCCAAACTGTTTACACCCATCTCTGATTTGGGTAGAAACGAAACATGAGGGCATGGGGTCCCAGGTACTGGGAAGAGGAGGCCTTGGGAAGGAGAAGCTTTAGAAGTTGCTGAGTGTTCGAGCAGCATAAGGAGCTGGCAGTGAGTGGGACCTGGCGGCACAAATGATCTGGGGCAGGTACAGTTCAGTGGTAGAGCGTGTACATGGCGTGCTCGAGGTCCTGGGTTCCATCCCCAGCACCTCTGTTAAGAGGCGGGGGTGGTGAGATGATCTTGGGCATCTTGGCAAGAATTCTTTCCGTGGCTTGAAGGAGACCAGGGGCTGACATTGAAAACCCGTGTGGCCACAGGAGGGAGCAGCTGCTGGGAAAGTGGGGTCAAGACAGGGAAGACAGGGGAGGAGCATCGGCAGACTGTAGAGTGGAGTTTGGGGGCCAGGGGTCTGTGAATGAGGAGGGAGTGGAAAGAAAAGGCACTGTGCCCTCAGGAGCTGGTGTTTTCGCCATGACTGTGGAAGCCGTGTGAGGCACCATGACCTTGGGGGCTGCGACGTTTGTGGATGAATCAGCTCCTGGAGGGAGAAGCTCAGGCTCTTTAGAGGAGCAGACAGGGCTAGGGACTTGGCTCCCAAGAAGGACCCTCTCTAGGAGCCGATAAGAACGCTGTAGCCCTCACCCTGGTCATAGAGGTGACTCCGGATGGAGGTGATGGGGCTGTGGGCTGGGCGGCCCTGCAGGAGCCAGTCTTCTCCTGCAGCTCAATTGTATCCCGGGCGTCCCTGTCCAGGCAAGTGCACAGGCGCGGGGCCAGAAGCGGCGCCTGGTGCCCGGCCGCTCTGCTCCGGTGTCAGGTGGGCGGGCCCGCACACGTGGTGTTGGTATAGGGCCCCACCTGTTGCCGCTTCCAGACTCGAAAGTCAAACTCACACCTCGTACCTGGGCTGAGCTCTGCTGCTTTTTAGTCACCCTCTTCCCCCCCCTCCCCTTTGTTTGTTTCCTCAGCAAAATGAAGCCAAGTTGGATGAGATTTTAAAAGAGATCAAATCCATAAAAGACACAATCTGCAATCAAGACGAGCGCATTTCCAAGTTAGAACAACAGATGGCGAAGATAGCAGCCTGAAGGTGCGCCCCCGCCCCAGGGGAGCAGGACGGCGCTGGCTGGTGGTCGGTGTGGTCCCAGGGAGGGCGAGAGGGAGGCACTGCCGTTCAGGCTGGCTGCCAGCCATAGGCCACATTCCAGTAAGACTCAATTCGTCTCCCAAATTTGCAGAAACAAAATGTGATTTAAAAGCTGAGCTTTTTACCAGAAAGCTTTTTTGATGTTTTAAGTGTTCTGTGACTTATCGAAACTTTAAAAGACAAAAGTGCTACTTTGGAAATCCCAGATATTCTGAATTTTAGAAAACCAGTCGATCCTGATGCAGTGTCCTGCCCGAGTACCTTTTTTTTTCCCAAACAAACAGGGACCAATGCCACATTGCTTTTTTATATTTCTTTTTTTTTTAACGTTGCCAAAACCAAAAGTAGCTTTTTTTCCCCTTTGTATTTTGCTACTTTGCAGTATTTGTGCGTGGAGTTTTTTTTCCTTAATTTGAAAGGGACAGCACTGTGTATGTTTATAAACTAAATGAAGATAAGATATTATTTTGTATAAACATTCATCTGAGAACAATCAGAGCAGTCGCCATGTCGTGCGGGCTTCTTTGCAGCACAAACCTGGTCATCGAAATGACTGCGCAAAAGGAAGACTTGAAAAATCACGTGGATTTGTGTCACCACCTCTCTCCTTTCGTTGAGTCTTCTGATCAAAAAAAGCTCACATCGAATTGTTTCCTTTCTCTTTTCTAGAAATTGGGTGGTTGTACCAGAATGGAATTTTGCCTCTTGGTTTATCCTGTGCTTCAGATGATTATAATCTAACCTAAACTAGCATGTGTTTCTCTGCGGTTTTGTTACACACGTAGAATCTATGGCATTCATCACTTTAAGGTCATGTTTCAGGTTTTGGTCAATACTTGACAGGGGTGCCCAGGACAAGAAGCCACCCGTGCTTGGAGTGTGCCTTCTTGTCCGTTTCAGCAGCTTGCCTGGCCCCCGAGTAACTGGGGGGCTGCGGACTAGGGCTTGGAGGGGAGCGTTGGCCCCTCTGCTTTCCAGCGTATCCCGTGCTGTACCTGCACTGTCCCCGAGCTGTGCTGGGGGCAGAACCCCACCCCTACCCCCACCCCTGCACCGCTGGAGCTCCCGCCCTTCCTTCCCTCCCCTCAGTGCGCAGCCCCATCTCTCAGGGCTCCCCCTGGCCGTCCCTCCCTCCTCCTGCCTTTCAGTTCTAGCTGCATTCTGCTTAAACGAGGCCAGCGGGTGCTACTGAATGCTGAGTCTGCGGAGAAGGGTCGAGAAGGAGGCAGGACCAGGAGGGCAGATGTCTGCTGTGGCTTTCGTGGTGCAGCTTGTCCCTGTGTGGCCTCCACACAAACCCACCCACTCGCCCCGCAGCTGCACCGTGCTGGGTCCAAGCACAGTGGCTCCCTGGACTGGGGCTCAACACTGAGCCCCGACGGCCTGTCCCACTCCCGGGTCAGCTAGAACTTCTCTCCATATCCATTTCCTCACAGTGCATGCTCGAGAAACCAGAGCTAAGGGAGCCTCTGCTTTGGAAGGGCTGAGTGTCTAACAGGATGGGAATCATGTCGTGCCATTGGGACCATGGCAGGGACGCTTGCACACGCTTGTGCTGGTGTGGGGACGGGTCGGGCCTGGCTGGGCGCGACTGTGTGCGGGAGCCAGGATGAGGCTGAGTGTGGTGACGGTGGGTGGGCTGGGTGCACTGGGGGTGACGTCCACGTACAAAAGGTACCGTGTTCTTAACCAATCCTGGGATTGCCATCTCCACAGTTTCAGGGTGTCTGAATGTGTGGTTTTGTGTGTGTGTGTGTGTGTCTGTGTGTTTTAAATATTAAAGTGGATAATGAGATGTAAAGAAAACAGTAATTACAGTGATTTATATTCAAATGTGTATGTATTTCTTTATCAACGTAAATCTGCTGAGGACCTTCATTTTTAAGATTCAGAAATATTTTAAGGTTCTGATAGCCAGTTAATTAAGTAAACAAAATTGTTGTTGATGGTGGTAAAACACCAGAGGGATTGTGGTTCGGAGACAAGGGGTGGTCAAGGGAGAGCTTCCCTGATCTTAGTGTGGGCTTAGGGCTTATTTAATGAACGGGTGCCCCGCCAGGCGCAGAGTTGGCGCTCTGTGGATTATCGTTCCTGTTTTGTATTTTTTTTTTTAAGCCGTGCTATCCCGGAGGAGAACCAGCGAATTACTCCTAGATCGGCTCTTATAGAGCAGCCGTCGTGTTCTGTCAAAACACTTGCTTCCATTTTTCAAAGATAAAAAAAAATCATTGATTACAAAATAGTGTCTGTGTTTATTTCACACCTTGGCTGGCTGGGCGGCACCCCTCGGCCCAGTACGGCCTCTCTGACCCCCGGGAGTAAGTACGGAGGCGGGGGCACTCGTGGGAGGGGGGTCTGCCCTGCCTCCAGTCTTCGCCAGGGATGGATCTGGGGCAGGTGGCCTCGTCTTGATGAGTCCCTCCCCTCATTTTGAAGGAGGGACAAGACTTCCATAGAGTTCAGCCCGGCCACACACGGAGTCCTCCCTGCGCGGCCACCGTGTTTCCTATGACGAGCTGATGGCCTGGGACTTGGGGCCTTGGAAAGCATCTCTTTCTTCAGTAGGAGCACAGTTCTCTTGGCTTGGCTGAAATTTTTATTCCAGCAGAAGGTTTCTGGGGTCATCTGAATTTCATGGTCCTCTCTCAGCTTCCCTCTTTGCACTGAAACCTCGTCCCATGACATTTCAGAGATTACAGCCGAGAACTTCCCTCCACTCGGTTTCTCTAAGTGTTTGTAATGACAAGTAGTCAGCCCAGAGCTTCCCGTCCTCAGATACCCTCTCCTGAAGTTGCTGGGGTCTGAGCAGCCCGGCGGCTGGGTTCACAGTCAGCCTGCCCGAGTCTGCAGGAAGTGGAAGTTGGCAGATGCCCTGTGCAGGGCAGCCCCTCAGCACCGCAGGTCAGGGGGCGGGTGCGTGGCCCTGGGGTGTTTTCGACTGACTGGTTTTCTCACCTCTGCCGCCTGGCTGCTTTGCCAGGAGACCTGAGATCACTGTGTTAGCCCCAAGCGGCCGGCCAGGCCCTGGAGAGGGAAGGCTACTTCCTCGCTGGACTTGGTGGTGTTTGTCCAAAAGAATGTCTGTTGCCTCTTAAGACCCTGTTAACTCTGGTCCTTTTCTTTCTGTCAGCACCTCCATGTGTCCTGAGGCCAGCATCGGGACACACACCTTTTCCTCCTGCACACGGGCAGCTGCGCAGGGCCCTGTCTTCCTTTTTCCTTTTTTTAATGTTAAAAGTGATTTATTTGGTCTGTTCACTCCCATACGTGATCCGCATGCTGCTGCCATGTTGCACATTTTCCGTACATATCCATTGGCTGATTTTGTTTGTTGTGTTGTTTTTCTTTTAACAGAGGTACTGGGAGTTGAACCCAGGACCTCATGCATGCTAAGCACATGCTCTACCACTGAGCTATACCCATCCCTCCACTTTTTCTTTTTTAAATTAAAAAAGAGGTCCTTTCCTGCACCACAGAAGGGAGTGTATGCAAACCGGTTCCCCTTGCAGAGGGCAGGGTGGCAAGGTATATCAGAAGATTTCAACATTCTTACCTTTTAGCTCAGGATTTTCACCTCCAGGAATTTTGGCCTAAGGACGCTAGTGGGAGGCATATTTGGGAATTAGAAGGTTAACAATTAGCCCAGCAGGGCTGGTTAATTATCAGCCACCCCAGAATAGGGATATATGCTTATACAATGTATATTTACATGTAAGATAAAGGCCACAGATGTTGCTATGTGGAGGTAGCAGTCGTGGGTAATGTTTAATTAATTGGATTTTTCTGAATGTCTAACCTTCCTGTAAATGTCTTTATTCCCAGGAAGAACTTAACTAAACTTGATGGATGAGTGATAAATTGATACTGCATTAAAGCAGGCATCATAATCGGCGGTGGGGAAGGAAGTGGCGGGATGACATTAAGTAGCTCTGGAGACAGGAGCTCCTTAGCGCCTCCCAGCGACACCAGTGCTTGTGCTTAATGGAGCCAGTAGTCAAAGGAAACTTCAGTTTTCAAATTTAGCAGAAAAAAATAAGCCCTTTTTTATCTCTAATTCAGACTGGGGAAAAGAGTTTAAATCCCAAAGCAATGGAATGAATCATAAGGGAATAGGTAGGTTGGCTACGTAAAAGTCCAATTACGTATTCAGTATGTCCAAAAAATGAAGGCCATGGAAACAGGGAAATATATTTTCAGCCAAAAGTGATACGGGATAGTACATTTTAATATGCTTAACCTCAGTCTCAGCTGCTGCCTCTATTTCAGTGTGGGTGGTATCACCTCCTGGGTGGGGTGTGTCCAATTTTAAGTCCCAGAGAGTCTTGAGGCGCAGATGGTAGCATTCCTCATCCTACCCCCAGGAATTCAGTCCACCAGCAAGCGGTGTAACACCAACTTGGAAACAGAAGGAGTTTGCTAGGAGACGCTAGTCATAGTGTGCTTGGTGCAAGTGTCTGGAAAAGGCGGGATGAGAAGTGGCCGAAGAAATTTCTCTAGATCCAAAGATACGGGTTAGGTGGCTGCCAAGTTTGGGAGAAGGGTTGCAGTGTTGGGCAGGGTGAGTTGAGAGAGGCGGGTGGGATCTCTGAGATGGAGTGTAGTTTGATGTTATTGCGTAGAAACGAAACTGGGTGAGAAAGCTGATTTTCGGAGCCTGAGTTCATGAATGGGGTGGGGAGCGTTTGGGTGAGGAACCCAGCTCCTGTGGCGGGAGAGCAGTTTTAGTCCCATTGCCTGGGGGGCCGGGGCCAGAGGACCAGAAGTTAATCCATTAAAGCGCTCAACTCCGGAGGCTGGGAGGCAGTTAAAAAGCAAGTGGACAGATCTGTTACCCAAACCGCTAGGTGCTGAGGTTTTTAAATTTTTTTTAATGGAGGCTTCCTCACACTGATCTGAAAGACTGAGTATTTTTGGAAAGGATGACGTGGTGGGTTTGGAGCTGCACTGGGGAGAAATGATTCAGACGGAGGCCCAACAGATGGTTGCGGGTGTAGGGAAAATTCTGGGTCGAAAGAGACGGGCAGTCACGGGGCCTGAAACGGGAAGAGTGAGGAGCCCGCCTGGTGTCAGGTGCTGCGTGCGCCAGGCTTCAAGTACAAATAAAATGACTTCCCCACCTTCACAGCCAGCTGGTCCAGGTGATGCAGATACGTCATCCCAGTGTGAAGGGAGCTGCCGAGGCTGAGGGGCAGGGCAGCCCTCGCCTTCATCATAGCCCTGCGGTCTGCTCAGCCCTCATCTGTGACCTCCTTCCCCCACCCCCATTCCATTCATCTCGGTGCTTGCTGGGTGAATTCATATTTTCACAGTGAGATGTTAAGGGACCTGGGGGGAATTGCAGTGGAGCAAATGACCAAATGGTCCAGCCAGTAAAGGTGCTGGGCTGTGAAATCACCCCTCAGGGTTTCAGCAGCAAAAATCCAAGCTTTGGGGCGAGGTCTGAGAACTGGGAAGTTGCCCCAGGGATAACAGGAAGTTGCAGGTTCATTTCCGTGCCAAGATGGTATCTGGGTTGTAGAAATCACACAAAGCACCTCATGGTTAACAAGCTGCCACCCTCAGCTACAGTTCCCAGAATGACCAGTGAGTTTTTACCACCCTGGCCAGTTTCTACTAGGGCAATGGATTAAAATGTCACAAAAGATTGCAAAGTAGAGATTCCCAAGTGAGCACCTGGGCACCTGCCAGAAGCCCCTCCTCCTTGTAGAGCGACCAGACCATGGTTTGAACAGTCTTGTAGCTGGTTCCTCCACCTCTGCCCGCCTCTTCCCTTTTTGTTTCCAAAGTGATGTTTCCTAGAACAGAATCTGTCAAGATCTCTGAGGGAGACACAGGTGGTTCCCCTCTCGGGTCCAGCTCTTCAGCCTCCCATGTGGGCGCCCCCTTGACTTGTCGCTGCTCCCACCCCCACCTGATTCCTCTCCCATAAGCGGGCTCTCAGCCACTCAAGTCACGGCTTTGAAATCCATCCGTATTCCAGCTACTTCTCATACTGCCACAGTAACCCTGCCAGTTCATTCCTCCGTCATCTCTGATGTGGACAGAGCTTCTGTATTGTCTTCTCCAGGAAAACGGAACTGATAAGATGTGTGCACATATGTAGTGAGAGAGTCAGTGTGAGGAACAGGCTCGTAACAATTATGGAAGCCATGTCCCATTATCCCCAGTCAGCAAACTGGACACCCAGGAGGACCAGTGTTTCAGTTTCAGTCTAAAGGCAGCCCCAAAAAAACAAAACAAAAAAAACCCAATGCTCAGAAGCAGCCAGATTACTAACTCCTCTGGTCTTCAACTGATTGGGTGAGGCCCACCCACATGGGGGAGGGCAATCTGCTTTCCTCAGTCCACCAATTCAAATGTTAATCTCACCCAGAAACACCCTCACAGACACATTCAGAATAATACTTGGCCAAATACCTAGGTACCCCATGGTGCAGTCAAGTTGACTGTAAAAGTTAACTATCACGTCTTCCAAACCAAGCTTCCTGTTGTCCTCTGTTTTCATCTGTTCTCAGCATAGCAGCCAGAGTAACCTTTTCAGGTATTAAGGCAGGGGTGGGCAAACTAAGGCCCACAGGCCGAATCCAACCCTCTGGAAGTTTCTGTACAACCCCCAAGCTAAGAAGAGTTTTCATTTTTAAATGGTTGGAGAAAACCCTCAAAGAACAGTGACAAGTGAAAATAACATAAAATTCAAGTTTTACTGTCCATAGATTTTCCTGGAACACAGCCATGCTCGTTTATTTAAGCAGCATCCATAGCTGCTCTCGCTCTGCACCTCCAGAGGTGAGTGGTCAGAGGTGAGACCCCATGGCCACAAAACCTAGAATAGTTACAGTCTGGTCCTCTAAGAGAAAGTTTGTTGATCCCTGTATTTAGGCTCAAAACCCGCCATGGCTTTTCATCCCACTAAGAATAAAAGCTAAGATCCTCACTATAGGTCAAGGCTGGCCCCATCACCTTCCTGACCTCTCCTGACGTCCCCTTGTCACAAGACCCCATATCTCTGAGCTTTCACATGTGCTGTTCCCTCTGGCCCACCCATCCTCCCCGAACCCCTGACCCCAAATATCTGCAGGGCTCACAACACCTATTTTCACCAGATCTGCCAACTCATTGAGTTTCTGTCTCCCCCAAATTGAATGAGAACAGGACCAGAAGTTGGCTATGGTATCCCTAGGGTCTGGCATAATTGTGTTCATAAATATTTGTCGAATGAGTGAACTGAAAATATAGCCAT